TCCTTTCATGTATTGGAACGGGAGATCTTGAACACTTCTCCATTACGAATCTCTCTAAAACTTTATTAATATATGCTTTACGAGACAAACCTAATGAGTCCTTGTGATCTATCACGGAATATTTCTATTCCTATCACATAGTATGCCTCACCCATATCTTTCATTTCAAAGTTGTTAGAGAGAAACTTCTTAGTCTCACTTAATAGACCAAGATCATTAGTCGCAAGCAAGATATCATCAACATACAGAATCAGAAATATAAACTTACTCCCACTGACCTTCAGATATATACACCGATCAACAGTGTTTTCCTTAAATCCAAAGGACAAAATAGTATCATTGAACTTAAGATACCATTGTCGAGAAGCTTGTTTAAGTCCATATATTGATTTCTTAAGTTTACACACCATATGTTCCTTTCCTTCTTCAATAAACCCCACTGGTTGATTCATATAAACATCCTCCTCTAAATCTCCATTCAGAAAAGCAGTTTTAACATCCATTTGATGCAACTCAAGATCATAATGAGCTACTAATGCCATGATAATTCTAAAGGAATCTTTCTTAGAAACAGGTGAAAATGTTTCCTTATAATCAATGCCATCTTTCTGAGTAAAACCTTTGGCAACAAGTCGGGCCTTGTAACGTTCGATATTGCCATGAGAGTCACGCTTAGTCTTAAAGACCCATTTACACCCTTCTGTGTCATTGATTTAAGCTCATCTTTCATAGCATCTAACCATTTATCAGAATTATCATCATTAATGGCATCTGAAAATGAAACTGGGTCATTATCAATACTTAGGTCATTTTCTGACTCTTGTAGATAAACCACGTAATCATTCGAAATAGCAGACTTTCTTTCTCTGTGAGATCTTCTTAATACTATTTCCTGTGGTTGTTCTATTATCGGATCATTGTTTATCTCAGGATCATTAATTTGTTGTTCTTCTTGATTGTCGTGTGATTCTACAACATTTGGAACAACAACTCTTGAAGATGTACTAGTTATTGGAACTTGTACTCTAACTTCCTTAATCTCCACATTTCGTGAAGCTTCACTCCCACTGGTTTCACCATTTTCAATGAACCGAGCATTTCCAGTTTCAACAATTCTTGTACTATGAGTAGGACAGGTAAAACATATACCCCTTTGATTTTTCTGGATAACCAATGAAATATCCACTGATTGTTCTTGCATCCAGTTTCTTTTCTTGCGGATTATAAATTCTTACTTCGCACGACAACCCCAAACATGTAGGTGTCTTAAACTGGGTTTCCTACTTGTCCATAACTCAAAAGGAGTCTTTTGAGCAGCTTTACTAGGAACCCTGTTCAACAAATACATGGCGGTCTTCAAAGCATACATCCACAACGATACAGGTAAACATGAATTACTCAACATACTCCTAACCATATCCATTAAGGTTCGATTACGCCTTTCGGACACACCATTTTGTTGCGGTGTGCCTGGCATTGTGTATTGAGCACAAATACCACGCTTCTCGAGGAACTTAGCAAACGGACCAGGGTGTTGTCCACTTTCATCATATCTTCCATAATACTCACCACCTCTATCGACCGACAATTTTCACCTTTACGTCTAATTGCCTCTCCACTTCGTTTATATAACTTTCTAAGGCATTTCTTGCTTGAGATTTCTCATATAGTAAATAGACATATCCATAACGCGAGAAATCGTCAATGAAAGTGATGAAATACTTCTCTTTATTAAAAGAATTTACGTCAAATGGACCACATATATCGGTGTGTATGATTTCAAGAAGTTGAGTGCTTCTTGTGGCTCCTTTCTTTGTGTGTTTTGTTTGTTTACCTTTAATACAATCCACACATACATTCGGATCGATAAAATCTAAATCCGGAAGGATTTCATTCTTTACTAATCTTTGCATTCTTTCTTTGGAAATATGTCCCAAACGCTTATGCCACAAATAAGCGAGATCTTTCATCCACCAAACTACGTTTAGTGCCAACATTATGATGCAAGGTCATGAGAGTTTCGGCATATAAATTATCCAAATTCAATTTATATAAACCATCATAAAGTGTACCAGTTCCAATCATACATGTACGCTTAAATAAGCTGAAACAACTATTCCCAAACTTAAAAGAGTATCCAGCTAACATCGAGCTTAGACAAAGAAACTAAATTTCTAGTGATACTAGGTACATAAAAAGTATCCATAAGGTCTAAGTGATATCCGAGTGTCAAGGATTAAGCGATAAGTCCGACGACTTCCATTGGAACCTTGACTTTATTCCCCATGAAGACGAACTTCTCATTTGGGTTTATGGTTCGGGTTGAAAGGAATCCACTGCATCACATTAGAAACATGAGTTGTACATCCAGAATCAATCCACCAAGTATTATGGGGAACTTCAGTTAAATTTGATTCAAAACATACGTAAGCACTATGCTCACCTTTCTTTTCGAACCAAGCTTTACGCTTTAAGCGATCCTTACGAAAATGTCCGAGACTTCCGCGAAATGACATTTGTCATTTTTCTTCCGAATGTTAGTAGAGGACTCGTTAATCTTTAATGGTCCTTTACCCTTTCCATGTTTCTTAACAACTTTCTTTTTAGCTCCTTGATTTTTCACGTAATGAATAGAGTGGCTTCCTAGGTTCTTGAGTCCGGTCTCCTCCTGGACTAACATACTTGTGCAATTCATGCACATTCCATTTGTCTTTCATGGTGTTATAGTTCATCCGAAACGAGACCATACTCGAGCGGTAACGAGTTCAAAATGAATTGCACAAGGAAATTTTCTTCCACTTGCCATTCCTAGAGACTTCGGTCTTGCTTGCGATATTTGTCATTTCGATTACGTGTTCATGCATACTACGAGAACCATCAAACTTCATGGTGGTCAACGTACTCATCAATGTCCCAGTGAGGATTTGTCGGCGGTTTGAGAGCGCTCTTCCACAAATTTCATGAACTCTTTCGCATTCTCGGTTTTGGGAAGAGCGAGACTTAATATTGCTTGCTACACTCATTCGCATAAACATAAGGCTAAGTCGGTTTGATCTTTCCCAAGCTCTATAATGAGTTTTCTCTTCATTACTACTAACATCGGTGATAGTAGCTAGGTTTTTCAACTTGGAAAGCCAAATCAAGATCCAACACACCTAAGTGAAATTGGACTTGTTCACTCCAGTCGAGGAAATTTAACCCATTAAAGACTGGAACGAGACGAAGATAGCGAATGCGTAGCTACGAGAGCAGATCTCGCAATTAACACATGCCTAACATTAATACTTTGAGTCATAAAATTAAGCATAAATACTGATTTAACCATAAATTACTATTCTCTGCATACTAATGTTCTCCTTTGGAAGATCCACCAATACACAAACATAATTACGCTAATCATTTTATAACATTAATGATAATTAAAATATGCATCAACTAGAATCACCTAACACCTTTGGGTATATAAATAAAACTAGTGACGCACAGAAAATTATCTACTTTCATGTTCATTAATTATAATAACAATTAATCAACCTTTGGGTGATCCTGAAATGTCTTATAATAATGAACTTCAATTAACCCATAAATCAATTATTCATAATTTTAGCGTTCATACTATGGGTAATTGAAATAAAATCACTAATAATTTGAAATTAAAATAACCTTAAAATTTTGGCCACTTTGGTGACTAACAAAATTTATCATACTTAATTTCAAATAAAATAATAACTTTAATTGTTATTAATCATTTATAATATTTTCTATTATTATTTATTTATTTATTTAGCAATAACAAACCATAATTCATTCACGTATCCCATTTTAGCCTCCACATTAACATTTACGTTTTAAATTTATATTGCAATTTAAATTAATTGCAGCGACCAATACTCATCATAAAACAAATGTCACGGAATTAAAATCAAATACATTTACCGCACCTAATATACAACTGCGCACGTTGCGCACGTTGGTGCACCTAATATGCGTCACTTTATGCAAGCTGGCCCATGTAATATGCACTCCCAACGTAATGAGCATCTAATTTTACGTGCGGGTAAGGAACTGGCCCACGTAATGCTTAGGTGCGGTTGTTGCAAACTGACCCACGTAACTTGCGCGCAGGTAAGGTACCCTTAGCATGTTTAATATGCAATTTGCGCAGAACATCTTAATCAAATACATGAACTCCTTCAATTGCCCAGATCCCATCATTTTAATTGCATAATTAACTTAATTGCAGCGGAGCATTATTAAAACTATTACGTGAGCCAAACGAGTAAATGCGCCTACATTTTTCTTTTCAACTAAAATAATCATGGAAACACATAAATTATCAAATTGATTTCAATTTGAAATTAAATACAGACCTTATCTATAAATTAGGGCTTATCTATTTATTCAATTTTGGGAAAAAATAAATTTGGGAATAATTAGGGTTCACATTAATCGATAAAAATTCCTAAATTCATAATTAGGGTTTATCCTAATTTGAGAAAAACATAATTTAGGAAAAACTTTCATAAAAGGAAAATCATAAATCTAATAACCTGTGCTCCGATACCACATGTAAACTTTATGCAGTTTTCTACGTTCTTCATTCATTATAGAAAACTACTCTATAGGATCTTTAGATTATTGATTTTCACATTTGCATACATCAATACATGAATCTAATAAGAGAACTAACCTTGATCCATGAGAATCCTTCTTGATCCTTTCGTTCTCCAATCTCCTTTTCCCAATCTATCTCTTTGCCTTTCTTTCTCTTCACACGCTTCGCTTTCTTGATGGTTTACCGTGAAAAAGACCTTATGGCCAGAGACAGAACCCTAATCCCTTTTATTAACCAACGTCCATCGAGTTGGTTACATTCAGTTAATATTTTATTTTATCTTTATTTTATTCTGACTTCACATAATAACCAATAGGTCCTTATAATTATTAAATCACATTTGGGCCCTTTATAATATTTCACATGAGTCACATAATGGAATGAATTAATTAAAAATTAATTCTAACACATTGTCCCAAGCATTACAATCAGGGTTGGAATAATTTGCACCTTCAGTCTTAATCCAGACAGATGGACCCTGGTACTCAAAGTTACAGTTGTCTGATGGCTTGCAACACCCCGACTGAAGCACAAAACAATTAGTGGAAAACCATAAGGCCTATAATTTTCGAGGTCATGTCAAGAACATGTACTGCGCTGAGCAACTTTGATTCAAATGTAGACGTGCAAAGGTCGTGAGTCAACAGTTTAGAATTAAAAAAACTGACTTTAACCAAAATCTTTCTGAATGTGATACACGAAGATCATTGGGTTAGGTGTAATCACACAAAATGACTTGAGCCAAACATATTCATTAATTTGCCACAGAACATGTAATGCCTCTACAAGTTGAAGCTACTTGTGTATCAATCAAAGTAATTTCACCACAAAACAAGCTGAGCAATTCATTGCATTCAAAAGACAATATGAAGCATACTTTCCCATCGTTCAAAGCCAAACTAGCTAATCAAGTCATTCGAAAATGGCATACCACTCTATTAACCATTAGAACTTTCCACAAAAAGGAATAATTTGCACATGCAAAATATTCATTAAGTTCATCAGTAGAACTATGAGATTTCCTACTTCTCTGCCAAGGAAAATGCAAATAACATATCAATTCAATTAATCTGTTCTCAAATTTGAGTGAAGCGTAATTTTGTTAAACATTTAACAATTAAATAGATTATGGAACATTTACTCTAGCACTAGTCACAAAGAAGGTTAATCAGGGCTAATCGGGCAGAAGAAATCAGCATGTTCAGTATAGGTCAGTGCCTATTTTTTATTATGAGTCCTGAGAAGAAGAACCGGTTCAGAATCACATGAAAAGGTATAGGCCATATGTGAACATCGGAGTTCTACTTTTAATTTTCCATTCAATAGAAGACAAAACAAACCAAAATGTATGTGCACTTTATCGACATTTATTCTAATACATAATAAAGAAAAATATCTGGTTTACACCATATTTTTGGTTAAGCAAGGTGAAAAGAAGATATAAGTAGGAAAAAAAAAAGTGAAATTTGCGATGGAGGAGAGACAAAGAGAAATATCAGGTAGTGGTACCCAAAACCTCGTTCAGAAAGTTTAAAAGCTTTTCTGAAAACTAAATAAATCATAAAGAAGAATAAAAAACGTAGAAAAAATGCTGCAAGAAACTGAAGCAAAACAAGTGGAGAAATAAAAAGCAACTTATCTTTTGCTCTAACAGCATAAGTATCCATGCCGCCTTTAAAACTTTGGTAAGAAACACTAAAAAGATGATAAAAAGAAGAAAGGAAACACAAAATATACCAACTCTTTGAAAACAAACCTACAAAGGGTACAAATAACACCTCCCATGCTCACAAGCTAGAGCTGACGAAGAAGCACTTTTCTCCGGAAGTGTAATTGAGAAATCCGAAAAGGAAGGAGATGCGGAACAGAATACCTGAAGCGCGGACAAGTTCTCGGTGTAGAAGTGTTGCGCAGTGTCGTTGGCGAATTGGGTTTGGAATTGGGAGCAGAGTTTGGCAGATTGGAGACAGCTCTGAATTCGGTTCCAGGTGTGGGAGTTGTTCACTCTGTTCTGCAACCAATTGGAGTAGTCACCGAGCCTGTACTCCTTGTAGCCTCGGTTGGAAAGGACTCGACCAGCACCCTTGTTGGTGACGAGGAAGGCGAAGACGGTGAAGGCGAGAACAAGGAGTATGAGCAAGAACATGACAAAGAGGTAGAGCCAGAGGAGACATGAGACGCGACAACATGCGCCGACCAAACCCGCCAGAGACACCAGCAAAAGGAAAACGCCCAACACAATGAAGGGCCTCTCCAGCCACCTTTCGCACTCCGCGTTCACTTGCTTGCTCAGCCACACGCCCGTCACCAAAATGGGAATCGACAGAAGAAAGGCCAGCAAATTCAGCACCCCAACCAGATTGTTGCTCACCCGAAACATCTTCTTCCACTGATTTCTCAAAATACTTTTACCCACCACCCTGCCTTCAAACAATCAATACACACAAACCACGCACCTTTCTGTTACTTTCTTTTATACCAGTGATTCATGGACCTTAAATTTGTGCTCACCCGTACACCATCACCATATTGATCTCACTAAATTAAAAACTTAGAATAATTAATAATGAAAAATAAATAAAAACATTTATCATAATTATTATATAGAAAATATATTTTATTTGTAACATTTTATTATATTTCTTCTCAATAGTATATGAAGTTAAATATTTTTATTCTAAAGTTGTGGACGACAACATAAAGTATCTCTTATTGCTAATTTATTTATTGGAAAAAAGTAAACATGATCCACTAACCATCATGATGTTCGCATTCAATTATGTTGTCATATCCCAAAATAGATCACCAAGTCAAAAAAGAGATGAGAAATTAACTTGACAGTTAACAAAATTAAAAAATTCAATAACAAACAACTAAAACGGGTAGGAAATGTCATGCGTGAAAATAATCTTTCTTTTCTTATAAAGTTTGAAAAAACAATTAAGTAACAAATAAAACTAAAACTGCATGTTTTTTTTTTCTCAATTGCCTAAACCTACATATTATTATTCCCTTGAGTGAGTTCCCTACATTCTTCCATTTTTGTCACTGAAGGGATGGAGTGGGACCATGGAAGGAATAAATTTCCAACTACACCATATTTTCACAGACGACCAAACTCAGTTTATTCCAATAACAATTATACACCATCCTTATGGCAAAACATAGTTCAAGATGATATATTGAACAGGGATTGTCACACTTACTCTTCTGGTTGTGACCTTTTCTGATGAAGTTGCTTCATAAAACTAACTCTTATATCAATGATTCTGGCAGAAGAAGATGCATCATCAACAACATCAACCATCCTACGGGATCTTCTTTATGCACGAAGAAGGCTTTTTCTCCTAAAAGTTTTGTAACATTTTTATATATTTACTATTTTGTGTCCCTCAATTTAACTATCATTAAACATATTTATTTATATAATGATACTTTTGATTTCTCAATGGTCATTAAATATATTTACATCCCTCTTTAAAAGTTTTTCTAACAAATATTAAAACAAATTATTAATATATATTAAATAAGAAAATATTTTATATTTTTTTACCGTCTTATATTCTTTCATTATTTATTAATAAAATATTATTTGATCCTAAAATTATTCATCAAAATAAGGGCTAGTCATGATAATATAATTATCAATAAGAATAGATTAGTCTCTATTAATACAATTTACAAAAGATTAGACTATTAGTTGATTTGATTTTAATGATTACATAACATAATTAAGACAAAATGATTTAATTGACTAACGTAAATGTACATTAGACTATACAATGTAAATTTTGCATAATAAACTTTTAAAATTTGTCACAATAAAAAATTATGTAAAAAGAAGAGACAAACACTAATATATAAAAGATCATTCATCGATCAAAGTTAAAGAGAGAATCAACTTATCAATACAGGAAGAAACATGGGACAATTGATGACTCGGCCCACCCAACCTACACCATGAGACAATTGATACTACCTGCAACATAAAAAGTGCCGAAAGAGGATTATTGTAGTTGTTGTTCAACAAAAAAAATGTTGAACATATAAGAAGAGAAACCTTAAAGAAAATATAACACCACATAAAAATTTAATTCAAAAATATCATAACATTTTTATTAAATAGAAAATTTACTAACCCAAAAAATATATATAACATAAAAATATATTTTACATTAATAAAAAAATCAAAATATTTATTAAAAAAGCAGAAACCATTGAAATATCTAATCCATTAACACCATATCATAATATCACAACTTCGTATAACAACTTCATATGAGAAGATGCATAAAAACATTAGTAAATCAAGTATCAAAACATTTAAATTGATTAAATAGAAGTTCCATCATCACATAACTTAAACCTCTACACAATGGATTAGAACCTCTAAGCACATTTAATAATGTTTATTGAAGTAACAAATATCAAAGATGTCAACTACTAAGAAATGAGAAAAGGAATAACCATGCAAGCCTATAACAAATGTTTCCAAATTACAATTAATTCTCATAAAAACGAAAAAGATTCAACGTAGGCAAATCATATTGCATGCATTAAATGCACCAAAAATCAATGCATAAGTCAGAAGCATGAGTATAGTTGTACACGCAAAACTCTCAAATAATTAGCTCTAAAAAAACCACCATAAATAAAAAATCCCAATGCACGAAGAAGAAAGAGCACGTTGTGAGAAATTCTAAATAAATACATAGATAGAAACACATGAGAAATTGAGTCTTATTTTGTAAAGATTAAGTGTAAACTTGAATATTTTTCATTATGGACATATTTTTTTTTATTTTCATTGAGTTATTCTTATCATTTTTGTTAAAGTGACTTTGTAAACAAAATATAATGACTTCTTATTTAAAGGAGATTTAATTGATTTTTCGAGAGAGACTTTGTACAGACTTTTATAGTTAGGAGTGACCGTTAAAAATATTTGTTATATATTCATTTTATTATAATTGAACCTTCCATTAGATACTTCAAAGATAATTGGATGTAAAATTTTAATGAGGTAATATATAAGACAGATGTTCTATCTTTTGTTTTTTCTAAAGTTTTTTATGCTACTTTAGAATAAATTATTTGTAAAAAACTTGAGAAAAAATATTATTTGTTACAAGTGATTAAACCACAAGAATATCATTTTTTATTATAAGTGATAAATAATAAGACGATAAGATCGTTTGTCTAAACCGTCAAACTACTAGATAAATAATTGTATTATCTATCATCTGATACCTCCCAAACATTCTGAAATAATTTTTGAATTATATTCAAATTTTTTCTTTACAGAGTTCACTTATTATTTCCATTTGTACAAAGTTAGTTTTTGGGACTAATTCTTTGTAGGACAGGTGACAGATATTAATAATTGATGGTAAAGAAATCAAATAATATATTATCAATAAATAATAAATAAATATAAAAAATAGAATAATATGAAAAGATGAAAGATTAAAATTATAAATATATAAACAAATATATTTAATAATTATTAAATTTAGGAATATTAATGTAAGTTAAAAAAAATTAGAAAATAATAATTTAAATTTATAAGACCTAAATCATAAATACTAATATAAATTATAAAATTTTAGAGTCATAATCTTCATTTTTCAATAAGCTCCAACTATAAAAAATCCAATAACAATAATAAACAAATGTTTAATAGTAAATAAATCACCTTTATATAAAATACTGAAAATAATGGATGATGGTATTTGAAAATTATTTTTAATATTTTTTTTTAAGTTTTTCTCTTTCACTTTTCTAGTTATTCGTCTTTGAATGATTATTATATTTTTGAAGTAATATATTTCTTTTAGTTGTTTATCAATTTAATTTCTTATTATGACATTTTCTTCCTTAACTTTCTTATTTCTCCCCTTCATCTATATCCTATATCCTCATCATTATCTTATTCTTATTCTTAGAAATAATACATTCAACAAATTTTGGAAAAGCTACGTCATAAAAAAATAAGTAACTTGCTTACTTATATACAATGATGAATAAAGAGTCTTAATAATCATCAAATGATTGGATCTTTATTAATGGTTTATATGTATATGTTATGCACAATCAATTTAGATATTCCTAGAGTCTGTCTAAGTTCATGAATTTGATGATATCATTTTCCAAAGAAGTTGCAAAATGATATTCTTAGGGTTAAATGATTTGATGATGATAATTCCTATCGCAAATGCAAATCTTGTTAAAATATACCATCCTTCGCTAATACTTAATAATGAATGAAATTAAAAAATAAAATATTTTATAAAATGAAAATTATACTGTTGTAGTTAACTAATTAATAAATATAAATAAAATAATTAAAAAATCAAATATATGAAGCATCTCTAATCTAGGAAGTTCTTTTTTATTTTTATTTTTACAGTTAATAAAAAAATTTTACTTTAGTATTAATTATTTTCAAGACAAAAATTAAAAATGTTTTTGTAAGTTATTCTTATCAAATATATATGCAGCTATCAAATATTGTTTATTTTTAATTTAATTATTTTCATATTTAAACAAAATATATACATTATTTATTTTACTTTTCTTTTAAAAATATAAATCATAAGTATAATAAATAAATTCAACAATAATCTCAACTCAACATATAAATTTAAATACTTATTAAGAAGAATAAATGGGCAATCATTAAATACTGACTTTTCAACGAATTCATTTGGTAGACATTAAATTTAAAAGTGTAGAACAGAAATCATTATCTTTCTGTAATATTTTGAGATAAAATCTTGTAAATAAAAGTATAATTAAATACTTTAAGATAAATTAAAAATAAATCACACATTAAATCAATAAATACTTCTGTATACTTACTTTTATTTGTGCGCAATAAAATCTACAATATTAATGTCTATCAATAAATTCAATAACTCAATATAATATATTAAAAGATAATATTAGAATGTATTTATGTTTTTTTTTTCATTGATACTAAATTATAGAAAAATCATTGAACAGTGGACTTTCCTTTTCTACAATCTTATATCCTAATGAACCAAATACGAAAGAAAGTGAGTGTTTTGGTGTAAGGAAGAACAAGGAAAAGTTGGAAGGTTGTTTACTATCATATTGCCTAACCCAAAAACAAAAAGCCTAACCCAAAACCAAATACAAAAGAGATCCATTGATTCTAGCCCTACTACTGTTTGAATTTTAAACTTTTTTTTTTTTTTTTAAGGAAGAAAACTGTTTAAAATCAGCTTGATAAAATTTCAAATAAAATTCACATAAAAAGATTTAAGGTAGAAAAAATTTGAATAAAAATATATATCACAAACAAAGTTTAATAAATTTAAGACGATCAATACAAGAATTGATGAATTCTTAATAAGATCGATGATAAAAGGAAGAATCTTAGTCGATAAATATTTTTAAATAAAAACAGTATTAATTTTTAGTATTTTTTTTAATATTATTGGACTTTTTTCTTGAGTATTATTCTTCTTACTTCGTGTTGTCATTTTAGTCATGCTCATAAGTTATGTTTATGCTTCCATATATTGTGTCTTAAATTGTTTCTTCTATGATTATTACAATTAGACCTATGATTAGTGAAAAATTGATTTATATATATTGATCATTTGTAATATTTGATGTTTGTAGGATCTTGGAATTTCTTCATTACTTGGATTCCTTGTATATGGAGTCTTTCTCTTATTGATGCTCTTGAACACTCCTCATACTTGTCATAATTTTGACATCTTCTATAGTTTGGATGTTATCTTATATTATAAGTGTCATTCTAATATTTTCAAATGTTGAGCTCTATCTTATTCTTGTAAGTATTAAAGACTCTTCTCATAGTGAGTGTTTATTTGTGTTTAGTAATTCACCTTGTCTTCAACCCACTCCAAGTATTTTTGTTTATTAAAAGTTATTGTCCAATTATACTTATAAAGGTTTAGTTATTGTATTTAAATGTTTCTTTTTCTATTATTTTTACATGTTTTAGTTTTCAGTATAAAACCATAAATTTTTTTTTCCATCATCAAAATCAAAATGTAACTATATGTCATTCAATTTATACATATTTTAATAGTATGGATTAAATCATTATGATAAAATATAGTAATAATAAAATTTAAATAATTTATATATAAGGTTAGTAAGAAATGAAGACAAAATTTACATAAATTAAATTTTTATAAACCATTCAAATATGTTCATACTTTTTATTATTTAATTTTTTTCTTTACTAATAAATATCACCTTACATTAAATAAACAGATATTAAAATATTTAGCTCATAAAAAAATTAAAATAGTTTATTTTAATCTTTATTTTTAAAAAGGTATTTTGGAAGAGAAAAACTTCAATATTCAAAATAAATTTATTAAAAATATATATTATTTTTATAGAAAATGTATGAAAAAAGTATTCTAATATTCTTTTGAGTTTAAAAACTTAAATAAATGTTAATAAATAATAAGGTGTAACTTTAAAATAGTAAAGTTAAAAAAAAATTGTAACCTAAATTAAATCATCATATTTTTATCTAATCCATTTAAGGTATGATATATATGGACTTAAGTTTCATAAAGTTTATGGGTATAATAACTATTTTTTAAATAAATTAATAATAATAATAATATTTTATTAAAAATATATGCATTATAAATTAATTTAATAAAAAATTTACTTATTCTAAGAATAAATATTTAATAATACTTTAAGATTAATTATTATTTTATATTAATAAATTACTAAAAAATAATAATAATAAAAATGAATAAATTTTTATTTTTTATTTTGATATTAAATTAATTGATTCTCTTATCATTTATATATTAAATTATTAAATCTTAAATAAAAACTAATTTTATTATTATAATTTAAATTTTAGAAATATATTTTAATTTTTTTATTTTTATTTAAATGTTTAGTTTAATTAATTATTTTGACATAGATAAACCTAATTAAAAACTATGGTATATTTTTAAAAATAGAATCATTAATTTTATATTTTTTACTTCACTTATAAACTTGATTACACCTGTCGACATCTTTAATTAGTGTTTTTTTTATGTATTCTTTTTAACATTTTGACATCTCTAATTAGTGTTTTTATGTATTCTTTTAATTATAATTAAAACATTTGAATGTATTCATGAATTAGAATTATAAATTCATTTTAATAATCTATATTAAATATTGATAGAAACCTTTAGTATGTGGTGAAAAAATAAGATTATAAATAATTATAATATTAAAAGTACATTTATATCTCATTTTTCATCGTATGATTTACACGGAATTACATATTTAAAAAAAATTACAAAATCAAACTGTTGTTGTAAACTAAAATCAAATGGGCGTTATTTAAAAAAAAAATAAAAAAAATAAAAGTAGCAAAGAAGAGATTGAGGAAAGGGACTGCAAAACATGTGCCTAGTATTCAGTTCAGTTGGGTTGGTTTGGACTATTATGAGAAAGAGAGTGTATGTGTATGTAGGGTAAGTCCGGTTTCAGGGAGTGATGCATTGCACCAGAGCAATTTGTAGCAATATAAAACTTCTTTGCACCTTCTTCATCTTCTTTCTTTTTCCATTATAAAACTTTATGTATTCACAACACCTATATATTACATTGCATCCCCCCTCACATTGCATTGGGTTCTTCCAAACAATCTTCCTCCTTCATCATTTCATTATCTTTGCCCTGCGCTGTGGGGTTGCTGCTCTCAAATGCTCTTCACCCTTCTCTTGGCCATTGTTTTTGTTGCTGTTGCTCTTTCCGAGTCAGCGGATTTTCGGCTGCTCCCATTCTTATTCTGCCTGTGAACTCGCCTTCCGTACTCCTCATGCCTACACTTGTGGATTACAGTGGTAAGTTCTGCGAGAGTTCTATTCTTTGATCGTGTTGGTACAGGTTCAAGGCTTAAATGTTTTACATGTAACATAAATGATGTTTCTTTGGATTTTCCAAGTAGTGGTTTTTTTTAATTGGACTTTGGTTTATAGCGCGTTTGGATCAGAATTAGAATTAGAAATATATCTATTTAGTTGCATATGTATACACGTGGAAACTCGTGGAGTTTGTTTTTGTTATAAGAGTATTGTGTTTGTGAATGCGATCAAGGATTAATTTTGTCAGACTTTGTTTTTGGTGGAAAATACATGGGCAAGTAATGTTTCTGGTTCTTAGAAATGGGCTTTTGTTAGTTTGGAAAAATTTTGTATGAATGATTTTCCTCTGTGAATGGGTTTTTTCAGGTGACGATGAGATTCCTGGAGCCTCCTTTTGTCAAAATCCCATTGATTTGGGTCGCATGTGTACTTTGCGTTCAAGTGTGGATCGATACTACTGCACGCCTAACAAGAGAGCTCGCATCAATGCCCCGGATGTGTTGGAAATTCTGCGGCTCGAGAAAGATCAAAAGCCTACCATTGAAGTCCTTCCTGATGAATGTCTTTTTGAGATTTTCAGACGGCTCTGCAGTGCCAAAGACAGAAGCTCTTGTTCCAGTGTGTCTAAGCGGTGGCTCATGCTTATGAGCCGTATCTGCAAAGCTGAAATTTACAAGTCTGAGAATATGATTAAGGGGTGTCCTTCGTGTGATGTTGACGATGATGGCTACTTAACGCGGTGTTTAGAAGGGAAGAAGGCAACTGATGTGAGGGTTGCTGCAATTGCAGTTGGGACTAGTGCCCGTGGGGGACTGGGAAAACTTTCTATCAGTGGAAGCAATGCCGTTGGCGGTGTAACAGATGTTGGTCTCTCAGTAGTTGCTCATGGTTGCCGATCTCTTAGATCATTTTCTTTGTGGAATGTTTCCTCTGTCGGGGATGAGGGGCTTGCCGAGATAGCGAAAGGATGCCATATGTTGGAGAAGCTTGACATCTGCCAGGCTTCCTCCATTAGCAACAAAAGTCTAATCGCGATAGCTAAGGGCTGTCCCAATTTGACCACTTTAAATATTGAATCCTGTCCAGAGATTGGAAACGAGGGGTTGCAAGCTATTGCAAGGTCTTGCCCCAAGTTAAAGTGCATCTCTATCAAGGATTGTCCTCTTGTTGGGGATCATGGAGTGTCAAGTCTATTATCATCAGCTAATAACCTTTCAAGGGTAAAGCTTCAGGATTTAAACATCACAGATTTCTCTCTGGCTGTCATTGGCCATTATGGAAAGGCAATTTTAAATTTGGTCCTCTCTGGTCTTCAAAATGTCAGTGAAAGGGGATTTTGGGTCATGGGTGTTGCTCAAGGTCTGAAGAAACTTACGTCACTTACAGTTTCATCATGCCGAGGGGTAACAGATGCAAGCATTGAAGCCATGGGTAAAGGTTGCATCCACCTAAAGAATATGTCTCTGCGCAGGTGCTGTTTTGTGTCTGATAATGGATTGGTAGCATTTAGCAAAGCTGCAAATTCGCTTGAGAGCTTACAGTTGGAGGAGTGTAACAGCATCACCCAGTTTGGGATTATTGGTGCCCTTTCAAACTTCAAAACAACATTGAAATCTCTCAACCTTCTCAAGTGTAAGGGAGTTAAAGATATTGATGTGGATGTATCTATGCTTTCTCCTTGCGAGTCTCTCCGACATTTATCCATTCGTAACTGCCCTGGTGTTGGAAATCCTAGCCTGGCTATGGTTGGGAAATTGTGTCCCCAACTTCAGCATGTTGATCTGACTGGACTTTATGGTGTCACAGACGCTGGCCTTCTTCCTCTTCTGCAGAATTCTGAGACTGGGTTGGTCAAGGTGAACCTTTCTGGCTGCTGGAATTTCTCAGACAACACCGTTTCAGAATTGGCCAGGCTACATGGTGGAACCCTTGAATTGCTAAACCTTGATGGATGCAGGAAGATTACCGATGCAAGCTTGGTTGCAATTGCACATAACTGCCTTCTGCTTAATGATCTAGACGTATCAAAGTGTGCAATCACTGATGCCGGAATAGCTGTTCTTTCTAATGCTAGGCAGCTTACTTTGCAAGTGCTTTCTTTGTCAAACTGCTCTGGTGTAACAAGCAAGAGTGAACCTTCCCTAACAAATTTGGGCCAAACATTGGTTGGGTTGAATCTTCAAAATTGTAATTCAATTGGCTGCAACACAGTTGAGTTGCTAGTGGAGAACCTGTGGAGATGTGACATTTTGGCTTAATCATGATCCTAACCAATTCAATTGCTATATCAGGGAATGAGATATAATTGAAGTGACTAAACCATATCTGGAAATTCAGGATAGATTGTACATATATCAAGCTTGTATAATGAACTCATAGGCGGTGACATTCTGCATGCGTTTTATGCAGATGTACCTACCTATCAAGGGTGGATTGGATGGCAGTTTGTTGACATAGTTGTTTTCCGGGGAACTTTGGTAGATCCTTTCTTCAGCATTTTTTTTATAAACAAATGCTTGTTCAACCCTTTTGGCCTTGCTACTACAAGAGGCCACTCCCTTTATGCTATGATGCCCTGGGAATACGTTTACTATGTCCTCGCTGGTTGATGGTTGCCACTGGATAAATAGTGGACATTGTATATGTTAAGCCTCTTTTGTATAGCTGGATGTGTTTAGCTCTTTCTGCATAATTTTTATGATGGTGCTCATACTTCAGGCTTTGAATCTTGTTTTATATACTGTTTAACAGTCACGTGGTAGGGAAGGATACAAAGTCTCCCAAACTGTGAGATAAATCTTAATCATTATATCTTATAATCAATGTTAAAAATACGATATGTTGACACCAAATATAATTCAACACTATCAAAATAAATTTAACTTATTTTAAAATAAAAATTGATATTTTAAAAATATATATAAAATATACATTCAATACAATCTATCTTATTAATATTAATAGAAATATAAATATTTTTTATCCACATCTTTTATATAATTAATTTTTTCTCTTTCTACTTGTATAGATTTTTACATTTTTTATTTATTATATTTTTTCTCTTTAAAATACAAAAATAATTATATAAAAAAAAGAAATCGATTTTCAGTGACACGTTTCACCTTTTATTTCTTTTCTTCTTCCAAAATATTCCCTCTTTTTCAATATTATAATCGATTTTTCAAATAGATCCTGCAAAATCTACTCCCACACCAAGATTTGCAACTTGGGCCTTCTCCATAAACAGTTATGGATGGGTATTATTGAGCAACATTGCTAAATTATTCTAGAATCAAGATTTAATGTCAGATAATTATTAAGTTTGGGAGATTTCGATTGATTTTGAAAATATCATATAAGAGAAATAGTAAAAGTGTAATAAGATGAGAAAATGAAATATGTATTTGATGAATATATGAAATTTATAGATTATGATTGTTAATATGATTGTAATTAAATTGAAATTTTATGTGAGAAACTTAAATATCACTACTACAAATAAAGCTTTCAACGTCAGTTACCGATGTTGTATCAGACGACGTTGAAAGTCGTAACTTTCAACGTCGATTCTAATAAACCGACGTTGAAAGTCGACTTTAGATAGCGGTTATAAGGGAACCGCTATCTAAAGTCGACTTTGTTGAAAGTATGATTTTTTAAATTAATAATTTTTATTTATTTACAACCCCTTTACCCCTTTTATTTATCTAGAAGTCTCCCTCTCTTCATATTATATTTTTATTAGGTCCTCCATCTCTTTATATTATATTTTTTAGAAGTTTTTTAATTTTTAAGAGAATTGTCATTGGCGGGATTCGAACCCAAGTACTTTAGAGTTGGAGGTCGATACTCCAACCACTAAACTACTTGAATTTTTTGATAATAACATACAAATAAATTATATTTATATACAAATAAATATATATCCGTGTAAATATCACTTGTAGAAATCCAACCCAATGACCTTGAATCTCAAATCCGATTCTAGCTTCGAAGATCTTTAACCCGAGCATGCATGACTCGACCTCAAGCTTGAAATCCAACCCAGGTGACCTTGAATCTCAAATCTGAGTGACCAAAACACCCAATCAAAACCCAAGCAACTTCGAATCTCAACCCCAGCCTCAACCTCGACGAACTCGAGGCCGAACCCCAACTCCGGCGACATCGAACCCCAATGTCAAGCCAAACCCAATTGTCATGCTTGTGAAACCCAACGCAAACCCAGCGGAGCTCGAACCCTAACGCATACCCTAGTGACGTCGAACTCTAACCTCGAGCCAACCCCCACTTTAATTCGGTCGCAATTAGCGATTGATTGATTGCTCAAGGATGTGTAAAAGATGATATATTCAATGTATGTTAAAAAAGTTCAAGCCAAACTGTTTTTATAGAAGATTTTCAAAGCTGCTGGTTTAATTAATCTGTTAAAAGATTCTTTTAATCTGTTAAAAGTGCAGTTTTAATCTGTTAAAACTTCTTTTAATCCATTAATACGTTCTTGATTCTTTAACAGATTTGTTTTAACCGATACGACAACGTTTATATCAATTAAAACACTTTACAAAAAATCTTCTAAGTTGATTTAATCGATTGTTTCGCGATTCAATCGATTGAAATACTGCAAAACTTTCTCGTAAAACTTTTCAAGTTATTTTAACTGATAAAAACAAGTTTTAATCGATTAAAACGCTGTGCAGAAATTGTTTTAATCGATTGAAACGAGATTTAATCGATTAAAATAGTTCTGATCGGTCATAACTGAATTCTGATCGATCATAATTGAAACAATATAATAGCGGTTCCAGGTTAACCGCTATCTAAAATATTTTTCGCTTGAGCGACACTCTTCTCGCTCGAGCGAAACGCCCCCTGCACAAAATTGGCATTCTCGGGTTGTATTTCGCTTGAGCGACACTACTCTCGCTCGAGCGAAATAAAATTCTGATCGATCATAACTTGAAATGATCGATCATAATTGAGAGGATATAATAGCGGTTCCCTTAGAACCGCTATCTAAAGTGTATATTAGATAGCGGTTCCCATATAACCGCTATCTAAAGTGTATATTAGATAGCGGTTCCCTCATAACCGCTATCTAAAGTGTATATTAGATAGCGGTTCTCTTATAACCGCTATCTAAAGTCTGTGAGTTTTTGGCTACCACCTGTTAATAAAAAGACTTTCCACGTCGGTTGTTCCCTGAACCGACGTGGAAAGTGTCAATAAATAAAAAATAAAAATAAAAAAAGACTTTCTACGTCGGTTGACTAAGAACCGACGTAGAATGTGTTTAATATGCACTTTCAACGTCGGTTCTCAAATGAACCGACGTTGAATATACTTTCTACGTCGTCTCAGTTATAACCGACGTTAAATAACGACGTAGAAAGTATATTTTGTAGTAGTGTATATAACCAAATTTTCCTACCTTAGAGTATGAGATATTTCCTTTTATTTCCACTAATATCTATATTTATGTTAAAAGACATGAAATTACCTATGACTATTTGAGTTATCCATGAAATATTTTTATTTAAAATTTATACATGTAAACAAATTTGTGACATAATTTCATATGTAATTATCTTTTTTTTATTGGTAGTAATTACACACTTGAAACTATTTTTTAATAGCTTCATCCAAATATTTTTTATTTTCATCAAACAAAAATTACGTTTTAAAATCCTATTTTTGGTCAAATTTAAGTTTCTAGTATACTTTTAACTCAACTTTGTCCTAACATTTGGTTACAAGCAATCGTATTTTCAACTAAAATTAATTGATCACAAACTATATTAGAGGTGTTAACAAAAATAGTTAAGAATAAAAAAAATATTTGATTAAAAATTTCATATATAAATTATTTTAAAAATAATCAAAAGTATTTATATAAATAGTTTTCTTTTAACTTTAAATAACGTTCTTCAATTTTAAAATTTATAAATAAGATTCATAATAAATTATTTGTTTTTATTTTGAAACATCTCTTCTTGCTGTTAAGAGATGACCTGAAAAGGGATATCATTACTCTTCTTCTAACTTGACCATTTTCTTTCCAATGTTAGTTCCATTGAAAAGTTGAAGGAAAGCAGAAGGGACACTCTCCACGCCCAATGATATGTCTTCAATAACCTGCAGCGTCCCTTCACGAAGGTAATCTTGTGTGTTTGCCAAAAACTCTGGGAAGACATTAATAAAATCAGCACTTAAAAACCCTTTGATGGTGATTCTGTTGTATATAATATTCAGCATGTTTGGAGAAGCTCTCTTTCCAGCATCAGTATACTCAGAGATTACTCCACAAACAGCCACTCTTCCACATGCTTTCATATTATCAACTGCTGCCTCCAGCATCTCACCCCCAACATTATCAAAATACATGTCAATTCCATCAGGAAAATACCTGCAATATTAAAAGTAAAGTCATGTATATAGCTTAGCATTTCTACTCCAAAAATGATTATGATCAATATTTCATGATTATTTGTCATCTCTAACAAACCTTTTAAGAGTGGACTTCAAATCTGTTTTTTCCTTGTAGTTGAATGCATCATCAAATCCTAGCTTTTCTTTGATCACTGCCACCTTTGAGGGTGAAATATTACTGGGATGAAGTTATATTAATTGAAAACACAGGTTAGCTTCCAATACCTTATTTTTGCTTCCAGCAGAGCCAACAACATAGCATCCTAATGCTTTTGCATATTGGCCCACTAAATTTCCAACTGATCCTGAGGCTGCTGAAACAAATAACTTTTCACCCTTTTGGGGTGTCAGCAGTTTGAAAAATCCTGCATATGCTGATAGGCCACTAAATCCTGCAATAAAAAAACACACACAAATAGTTTGCATATATTCTTCAAAATAATGAAGGGAAACAACAAATGTAAAATGTTTATTTATTTATTTTCTGGTTGTTAGTTTCCATTTCCGAGTAAATAACAAAATAAATATTTTACGTTTCTTAAATGCTTATCATTTTTTTTTTGGAAACAACATAATCAATAAATAATATATTTTAAAAAAATTAATACTGAAATAGAATTTTTCTTCGTACACAAGTTTTAATAATCAAGTTTTTTCTCTTATTTCATCTTATTTTAAATTATATTAAAGAATCAATGTAAAAAGTCTAATATTTTTATTTGTTTATAACTCCTCTCTATTTATCTAATTATATTTGGAAGTTGATACTCTAACTACTAAGCTACTAGGATTTCCTGATAATAACTTATAAATAAATTATATTTATATATAAATAAAAATGTATATTCATGTAAATATATACATATAAAATATATAAATACAAATACAAATATATTTATAAGTTGAATACGAGTGCGCGTTCAAAGTTGAAAGTGTGTCTTGAGTGAATTTTCAATTTGATGTCAAATTTGTAAACAGATCTCTTTATATGAGTTTATAATTTAATAGAAGAATATAATTTTTATAATTTATTTATATAATATATAAAATAAAAAAATTTATTTATTTTATATCATTATATAAATTAATTATAAATATTATATTCTATATCATTTTATAAATAAATTATAAAGATTATATTCTATCATTAAATTACAAATTCATATAAAGAGATTATTTCACAAATTTGACATCAAATTTTGAAAACTCACTTGACTCAACACACTTCCACCTCGAAGACGACCACGACATTTAACATATAAATATATAAATATATCAAAATATATAATTTTATATTTATATATTTATCCAGATATACATTTATTTGTATATAAATATAATTTATTTATAAATTTTTATTAGAAAATTATAATAGTTTAGTAGTTGGAGTATCATAAAAGTCTTTTATTATTATTATGTTATAATTATTAAAAAAAATTAAATATTTATTTTAACATAATTTTATTAAATTTTAATATAGGAATATAATTAAGAGAATAAATAAAAGGAGAAAAAAAAAGAAAAATAAAAATTGAGAAGTAAACAAAGAAAGAAAAGAGAAGAAAAATTTTGTATGAATAATAAATTGGTATAAATTTTATGAGTAATTTTTTTAAATATATTATTTTTATGTTCATTCCTAACAACAACCAGAAAAAAAAATCCACAAAATATGGAAGTGATAGATTGTTGTTACCCAGAACTCCAAGATAATATGACAGAGGAAATTCAGATGACTCTATTTTCTGTATTATGCTTTGTTCTTTAACAACACTGTACTCCGCCAAAGTGAAAAATCCCATCACCAAATCGTTTATCTGAAACTTGGCATTCCCAGAAGCCACAACTTTTCCAATAACAGGACCATCAAAAGCCTGGAGAGTTAGAAAAAACGAAAAGCTTAAAAAAAACACGCTATAAGACATCATGTCTGTTCAGCTTTTATGTTCTTCAAAAGTAACACACTCATTCTGAAATAATAACTACCTGGCCTGGGGTTATGCGCGTTGATTGGTTTATAGCCCTCTGGGAAGGGCTGTTGCTCTTCATGCGATTAATCTGGTAGGGATCGATAGAGATATACAAATTCTTCACAATAATTTCATCAGATCCTGCCTCAACTGAGAGAGATAAAGTCACAGTTTTAAAGCCAAAATAGGACACTTGAGGTGCCCCTTCAAAGTGATGCTTTATCACCATGTACTTGTTGCCCACCTCCATTATTTTCCCTTAGCAACTACCTTAGCAGATCCTCCATCTTTATATCTAAATCTAGACACATTATGTTTGCTGTCATTTTTCTTATCAAGGAAAAAAAACAAATTAGAGACTTGTGAGCAGATAGTCTTTTTATTGTTAGATCATATTTAACGGTGGATTCTTAAGTTGAATTCATAATTTCATATCATATTTAAATAATTTTTTTAAAATTTTTATAAATTCACTTTAATAGTGGATTTTTACAAATTATCTGATTTATTGAATTATGTTAACGAGAACCATTGAAACAAATTGATAAAAATTAAAAAAAATAACTCTTAAAAAATTGCTTTTATAACATGCGATACAAATATTTGCTGACACGTTATTACGATAATTTTTTATAAATACCATTGCCTATATACAAATGAGACCATAAGCAACTCTCTTGTACAAGGTCTGAGCTTTTTTTGGACCGCAATGATATTTAGGAGCAAAAAGTTAAAAATTAGGGCCCAATTCCATAAAATCATGAGGTTTGAGCTTATTTTTGGACCACAGTAATATTTAGGAGCAAAAAGTTAAAAATTAGGGCCCAATTCGATAAAATCATGCATTTAAGATTTGATGTTGTAACCAGATTGACGTAACCGGCAATTAAATATAATAAAATAATTTTTATAATAATAATTTGAAAAAATATTTAATAATAATAAATGTTATTGCTTTTATCGTCATAAATTATATTTAAAATTATAATATAAAATAAAATAAAAAATACAAATTTGATAATCATAAATATAAAATATTTATTATTAAAAGTTAATATATTTATGAGATAAAGAAATATTATATTTTTTATTATTAAAAGTTAATATATTAAATTTGATTATTTTTGCATTATTATTATTATTATAATAATAGTAACTAGGAAACTGCACCTGCTAGTATTTATTGTTTATAAATTAAAACTTAATATTTATACTTGTTGCAGCAAAAACGTCAGACTTCTTCTTAATATACTTAGTTTTTCTTGCTCCTTTCTTCCCTTGTTTTACTTAGATAATTTAGCTGATATTTTATGTCTTTTTATTATCAACAACTATCAATTATTGTTATGATATTTTTTGGATAGCCTGGCAACAATATCACCACAATCAAACCCAAGATCTCATGGGATATGTTTTTATATGTTTTCTCTTTAATTATGTAGAAAATAGGACTTATATAAAAAAATTTATAAGTATTTTTTAAAATATATATTTAATTATATAAATATTTTAAAAAAATTATTAATTGATATTTTTATTAGATAAATTAAAAATTTATTATATTTATATTTAAATAATTAATTATAATCAATAATTAAAATTTAATTAATTGATTTTTATAATTAAATTATATTATTATAATATATTCATATATTTTAATAATATAATAAAAAATATAAAAATTTAATTTTAAAATTTAATTTTTATTTTATTTTAATATAAATATATTTTTAAAAGTGAATTAGTAAATTGACCATCAAATTAGTAAACTAAATAAAATAAATAAAAATAAACTAATGAACTAAAATTACTTATGACAACTCGTATTATAATAATACAATCCTCTTATCTACCATCAATATCATAATCCATCTAAAGTTAATATAAAAAAGAGTATTAAGAATTAAACGATACACAATTTTTCAATTTAAAAAAAATATGTGATTTCGAAAATAATACATAAAAACTTATTTTCAAAGAAATTATAATGTTTAATTTATCAATCTCACTAAGAATGAGTAGGTTCTTATCACTATTAAAATATTCTTCATGTCATTTTTACTACAAACAAAATTTGCAAAAAATAGGTAAATTTTTTATAAAAATATTGCATACAAATTTACTACAATTTTATCTGCAATTTTATTTTCACAAGCAATATGGTAAGTTTTTTTTTTATAAAAGTTTATGCAAGATTTACTACAATTATATAATTTGTAATAATATTTTTTTCCTCACCGATAATAGGCAAAATCAGCCACTATTACGACCTTAAAAGTCTAAAATTATTAAGGTTTAGCATAATTACTAGCAATTTAATAGTTTAAGCCTTTTAAGTATATGAGAGAGATTTGATTTCTAGCAATGTGAACAAAGGGAGAGTAGTTTGTTTCTTTATATTTGAGGGTTAAAAATAAATTCAAATTATGTGATATTATTAAAATAAGTGAAATTGTACTTATTGAGATGAGTTGAGTGAATTATACTAAATTTTATTTCATCATTTATTTATTTTTTATCTTAAAAAATTGATTTATATATTTTTTTAGATATTTTAAAATTCAACTATTTATTTTTCATAATATTACATTAAAAAAATATCATAAAACATTAGAAAAACAAACTAATTATAAAAAAAATATCAATATTTCATATATTTCATACTATATGTACTAATTTATTATAATAATAAATAAAAAATATATTTATTTATTTATTTTAAAATTATTGTTGGATATCTTCTTAATTTTTTATCTTATAAATTGAATGGCAACATAAGAAAAAAAGAACTAAAAAGTTAGAAAAAATAGATTACAATTGGTAGACTATAAAGATAAAATTGAAAAAAAATTAAAGAAAAAATTTACAAAATTTATTATGTAAAATGAAACCGAATAAGTGATGAAATAAAAAAGATAAAAAAATAAAATGAATGTGATAAAAGAAATTAAAGTGAAAAAAAGAAGGAAGAAAAAATAAAAAATAAATAAAAGGAAGAAAAAATTATAAATAAAAAATTGTATAAAAGAATAAATATAATATTTATTATAAAATAAGTAAAAAAATTTAAATTTTATTTATATTTATAAAATAATTTTTATTTAATTTTAAACATAATAATAATAATAATTCTATATATAAAAAATAAATGGTGGAGCCATGACCAAGGTAGCCCCTAAAATCCATCTCATCTCAAGTATAATTTCTGAGTAAAATATGTAAAAGAAAATTGGAATCTTATTTGAGAGTTTTTATCGAAGCCCCGAATCATCACTTCCACTCATAATTTCCCTTCCATACTCATGCTGAAGCCTCTACCACATATTAAAAGACTAACATCAAGATTATAATATTTGATAATTCGTTATTATTATAAAAATATTTTTTTTCATATCTTATTATAATATTTTTTTCTACATTCTATTATAATGATTTGTCTATTTTTATGATTTAAAAATGTTTCATTTAGTAACTATTTCTACTTAAAGTCTAAATATTAAAAACTGTGATGTAAGTATCAGAATATTTTTTGTAGTAAATCTATACTATTTTTAAAGTAATTACTTTCAATCGTTTTAAAATAACATCTCATATTATGATTTATTGATTTTCTCTTTTCAACCCCACACTTCTACCAATATAATAAAAACAAAAAGAATTAATAGTTTTTTTTATAATGAATCATTTAAAATTTTAGCATCAACCATCATAATTAGTCATCTTTCTTTTCAAAATCAAATTAAATAATCATGATTAAAAAATAAACATATTTTTAGAAATCTTTAAAAATGCTATTAAATAAAAGTTACAAGATTCAACTATCCTATCATCTTTATAATATCAATAATTATCATCACAAAAATCACTAAATTACAAAATGATTAATTCATCTAAAAAACTATCTCTTCTTACCTTCTATATAAATAGGATAACGTCAATCAACAATATTCAACGACTCTTATGCTACAAATCTACACTTTGATATAAAAATGATCTAATAGCATGAAATAATAAAAATATAATATCCCTTTTATTTTTTATATTATTTTATGAATAAATTCTATTTAATCTTATATAATCCATGAAAAATAACTATAAAATATTTTTCATGGAAAACAAATTATAAAATTTTATAATTAATCCGTTTTTATGAAATAATTTATAAAAGTTTGCGAAATATTTCTCACATGTATTTAATGTAAAAAAATTGTGACAAGAAAAATATTTTTCTACAAACCTTTTATGGATAAAGATTTTATCGTGGGAAATCAATAATATTTTTTTAATGTTACATCAAGAATAAACAAACAAATTTTTTTCATTCTTACAATAAAAAATAAATTCATAGTTTCATGTAAATTTATTAAATTTGAAAGAAAAATAAATAAAATTTTGGTTGAAATATAAACAAGAATATAATAAATAAATAAATAATGCATAAATAAATATTGAATAAAGAAAGACGAAAAAATAAAAATAAAAAGTCTCATGCTGGCACTTGACGAACCTATACAAGTGCAGTGCTAAACTTTTTCTAGATCATTAAGCGTTTAACTAATTTTATATCTGAATTTGTACTGCTAAAGGTGTAGACTATTTGCAGCAGAGGATCCAAACGCGGTGAATTGTGGAATTTAATAGTATTTGCATGTCTAAAAACTATTTAATACCATGTCTCTGTCTAATCACTACTGTGAGTTGCTCAAACAATGCGGCGACACAAAGAAGGTCCATTGCAACATAATCAAGGCCTTCCGAAAACCTGAAACCTTTATGCTAAACAACTTAGTCAATGCGTACGCTAAGCTTGGGAGCATCACTTATGCGTGCCGGGTGTTCGAACAAATGCCTCAACGGAATCTCTACTCTTGGAACACACTTCTCTCCTCCTATTCAAAACTGGGTCGTCTTCCTCAAATGAAACGCGTGTTTGATGCAATGCCAACCCGAGATATGATCTCATGGAATTCCCTTATTTCCGGCTATGCTGGTCGTGGTTTCCTTGTTCAATCGGTGAAGGCTTATAATATGATGTTGAGTGATGGGTCATATAATTTGAATCGGATTGCGTTATCCTCTATGCTGATACTTGCATCCAATCAGAATTGTGTTCATTTGGGTAGGCAGATTCATGGGCATGTGGTGAAATTTGGTTTTCAGTCGTATGTTTTTGTTGGGAGTCCTTTGGTGGATATGTACTCAAAAACGGGACTTATATTTTGTGCAAGACAGGTTTTTTATGAGATGCCTGAGAAGAATGTGGTTATGTATAATACACTGATTGCAGGGCTTATGCGAAGCGGTAGGATTGAGGATACGAGGCAGTTGTTTTATGAAATGAGAGTAAAGGATTCTATTACCTGGACAGCAATGATTGCGGGATTTACTCAGAATGGCTTTGACATAGAAGCTATTGATTTATTCAGAGAGATGAGATTAGAAAATCTTGAGATGGATCAGTACACTTTTGGAAGCGTGTTAACTGCTTGTGGTGGTCTTACGGCTTTGCTAGAAGGCAAGCAAGTTCATGCTTATATAATTAAGACAGATTACCAGGATAATATATTTGTTGGTAGCGCTCTTGTTGACATGTATTGTAAGTGTAAGAGTATAAAATCAGCAGAATCAGTTTTTGGGAAGATGACTTGCAAAAATGTTGTATCTTGGACTGCAATGTTGGTGGGTTATGGACAAAATAGTTATAGTGAAGAAGCTGTTAAAATATTTTGTGATATGCAAAAATATGGGATTGAGCCAGATGATTTCACCCTTGGGAGTGTAATTAGTTCATGTGCAAACCTTGCTAGCCTAGAGGAGGGCGCTCAGTTTCATGGCAGAGCTCTGGTTTCTGGCTTACTTTCTTTTATCACTGTTTCCAATGCTCTAGTTACATTATATGGTAAATGCGGAAGCATTGAAGACTCTCATAGACTTTTTAGTGAAATGATCTTCGTTGATAAAGTCTCATGGACTGCACTTGTTTCTGGGTATGCGCAGTTTGGTAAAGCAAATGAAACAATAAGGTTGTTTGAAAGCATGTTAACCCAAGGTTTCAAACCCGACAAGGTTACTTTTATAGGGGTTCTTTCAGCTTGCAGTAGAGCAGGACTCGTAGAGAAAGGAAATCAGATATTTGAGTCAATGATTAAGGAACATATGATTGTACCCATTCAGGATCATTACACGTGCATGATTGACCTCTTTGGTCGAGCAGGGATGTTAGAAGAGGCTAGGAATTTTATAAATAAGATGCCTTTCAGACCTGACGCAATTGGTTGGGCATCCTTACTAAGTTCATGTAGATTCTATAGAAACATGGAAATTGGCAAGTGGGCAGCTGAATCTCTTCTAAAGTTAGAACCACATAACACCGCTAGTTACATCTTACTTTCAAGCATCTATGCTGCTAAAGGAAAATGGGAAGAAGTTGCCATATTAAGAAAAGGGATGAGGGACAAGGGTCTGAGAAAAGAACCAGGATGTAGCTGGATCAAATATAAGAACCAAGTGCACATTTTTTCTGCTGATGATCGGTCAAACCCATTTTCAGATCAGATATATTCTGAGCTTGAAAAATTGAACTATAAAATGGTACGAGAAGGATATGTCCCTGATGTGGGTTCTGTTTTGCATGATGTTGAGGATTCAGAGAAAATAAAGATGCTTAATCACCATAGTGAAAAGCTTGCAATTGCTTTTGGGTTGATATTTATTCCTCCTGGTTTGCCAATACGAGTAGTTAAAAATTTAAGGGTTTGTGGAGATTGCCACAATGCAACTAAGTATATATCTAAGATCACTCAGAGGGAGATTCTTGTTAGAGATGCTGCCCGATTCCACTTGTTTAAAGATGGAACGTGTTCATGTGGAGACTTTTGGTGACAGGTCTAGTTATATTCTCAAGTATAAAGAAATGTCAAAAGTGACTGTTAATTACAGGGTTCTTCCATTTGAAGAGACATGTGATGCCTCTTTCTTCGAAAGTTGAGTATCATTACCAAGCCTGCAATGCAGTTGTGTTGACTATCCTGTAATTTCATTTGGACTTAAACAAAATTACAGAATATGGTGTCCACTCCTGCTGACTAACCATCATCTTTTGTCTTAATTTGAGGGGGAAAAGATTCGTACAGGCCAAGACTGTTTGTGAGACAGTTTTGACAATTTAAATAGGATTTTTATTTGTACTCCGGAGGAAGCCCTTTATTTATTTGGATATAATGGTGGCAACAATGTTAGAAGCTGTGGCCTCATGCACACTACCCAAGTCCTTCAACTAGCCCAATCCTAGTAACTTAAAATTTAGACAGCTGTGTTATACTAAGCTTTTCATATCAAGTTTATGCTGAATTTTTTGCTTCTTAAAGGAGTATTTCTTTTAATTTTTACTTCAGCTTCTAGAGTATTTAAAATTTTAGATTCTAGACAAGTTTGTAAAAATGATGTGCAATCTTACATCTCTATTACTCAGAATTGTTCTGTATGAGCTAAGATAAATGAGGATAATTTGATAGAATGAAATATTTGTTTTTAATTATTGTCATCATTTAAATTATGAATTATGAATGTATCTTTTGTTTCTGTCCGTAATTCAACACGCTATTAATCATAATGAATTATTTTCTTGATTTTGCTTAGCGGATGACGACTCAGTTCAATGCATGTTGAAAGTTAAATTTTTTGTTTAGTTCTCTTGTTTTAGCCAATGTGCTTGGTAATAACCATGTTCTTCTCATTCTTCATGGTTTAATTGGATGCCAATTATCATATATGATATGGAAGATTTAATGTCATTTAGAAATATAAATGGGTGCAAATCTTATCATGATTGAGTTAGGTATGAATTCATTTTCTAAGATAACGTCAGAATCTATTTTACAATTTTTTTTTAACCTACGGTGCCATCCACTATTGGGTTCTCTTGAACCTATCCTAATTTTTTAATAAAGATTTCTTGTTGCTAAATTTAATATCAACATAAATAAAATATTTTATACATATTTATTGTATGTAGACTCTAAATAATATATATATATATATATATATATATATATAAAAGTTATATATTTAACATTTTTTAATTTATTTTATTGACATAAATCATTAATATTTATAATAAATATATTTACATTTTAGTTTAATATTTAAAATATTTTTCAATAATTTTAGTACTACAATATTATAATTATAAATTTATATACATATTATTAATATTCACTACTAATATTAGTTTTAGTATTAATATTAACTAGTCATATTTTTATGTTATTAATTGATATTTTATATTAGTATTAAATAATTATTAAAGTTATTTAAGTTTTAAAATAATTATATTCCACTACATTCAGTGTTATTAATATTTTAAAAGTTTTCAAATATATTAAAATAATATATCTATTTAATAATAAATTTTATTTATAACAATATCATTTATTACAATACAATTATTTATTATTTTAAAAGGTATTTTTTAACATAATTATTAAATTACAATTATTTAATTTTTTTTAAATATAAAAAAATAAGAAACAAAATCAAACCGGAGTTCTGTTCCCAAATTCGGGTTTTGGTTGATATTTTGACATCAATTCCCATTTTCGAAGAAGCAAATTCGATTCCGAAGACAGAATTATATGCATAAATATTTTGTTATTTGAATAAATAAATTAGAAATAGATGATAAAATTATTAAATACGACGGAATAGATCTATTTTAATTTATTACTCCGTTTTGATTCATTCTGTGTTGATATATCAATCGGATAAGATAGAGAAAATTAATATATTAACTCATTTTAAAAAAAGTATATATTAAAATTAAAAAATGTTATAACTTTTATTATATTATTAAAATATACAAATACCACAGTAAGAGAATGTGATTACGTTTTCATGATTAACTAAATACTAACCATAACAGTTTTTATTCTTCTTTATTGTTTTTTTTCTTTCCTTTCCTGTTATTTTCTTTTTCTACTTACATTCATACCAAGAAAAGAAGGAAATATGGATTAGAATGAAATTGTTTTGGCATTATCCTGGTCCTGGCTGGCAATTATGTGAAGTTGTGTTGTATTTCAAATTTCATCATACATAAAGATTATGCTCTATATATATATATATATCTTGACCGTGATGAGTGGGACGTGAAAGAGAGGAAAAAAGAAATAGAGAGGGTGATTTGATTGAATAGCAATAGCAAGCAATAACAAAATGAACCACCCAAATGGCAATCGTACAGGAAGAAAGGAAGTTGTTGATGAAGAGGAGGAATCAGCATTGGCGTTGCCACTGCTTGGAAGCAGAGAAAGAGATGATGGGTCTGGGTCAGGGTCTGAATCGAAGTCAAAGGCATCGGTTAGTGGTTCTGTGTTCAATTTATCAACGACGATCATCGGTGCTGGGATCATGGCCTTACCTGCGGCCATGAAAGTTGTCGGTGTGGTAGTGGGCGTTGCTGCCATCATCTTCCTTGCCTTCCTCACACACACCTCTCTGGAGATTCTTCTTAGATTCAGCAGAGTTGCCAAGGCCTCCACCTACGCCCACCTCATGGGGGGTGCTTTTGGGAGTTCTGGAACTCTGCTTTTTCACTTGTCGGTGCTTCTCAATAACTTTGGCATACTTGTTGTCTACGTCATCATAATTGGTGATGTCTTGTCTGGAACATCTTCAAGTGGAGTCCATCATTTTGGGGTGCTTGAGGGTTGGTTTGGTCAGTGTTTGTGGACTGCTCGTGCTTTTGTTCTTCTTCTCACAACTCTGTTCGTATTTGCTCCATTGGGTTTCTTTAAGAGGATAGGTAACTACACTACACATTACACTAACAGTATCAGTTTATCATGGACGAATTTCTTTTAAGTGAGAAAAATAAGAAAAAAAACATAAAATTATCTTTATATTTAGGTTATACATAAAATATTTTGTAGAAATTTTCTTGTATAAATCTTAAAAAAATATTTTTAACTTGTATATAAAATAGTTTTATTTTTTTCTTCGTATTTTTCTCCTAAAAGTTCTTCAGATAAGCTTATCCAAATAGGCTTTGTGTTATGACTTCTAAAATATTCAATGATGGTTTATTTTGTCTTAGAAGTAATTAATAGTAAGTGAATGTGATTGTATACTAATCGCAATTTGTAGTTGTAGTATTAATGATTAAATATGCTTCGCAAGTGATTAATCACTGTGTGGGGTGGACACTGGGTGGATATTTTCAGTGGGAGATTGATGATTTTTATTTGGTATGTGGACAACATTTAGTTTTATTTTGTGCCTGCAGATTCATTGAGACATACTTCTGCCTTAGCAGTTGCTCTGGCTATTGTGTTTCTATTCATAACTGCGGGAATCACATTCATCAAATTGTTTAATGGCAGTATAGCCAAGCCCAGGATGCTTCCTAATATTACTGATATTACATCCATTTGGAATCTCTTTACAGCAGTGCCAGTTCTTGTGACAGCTTTTGTTTGTCACTACAATGGTAAGTTACCAGATTGTTTCTGCAATTTTAACTGTTCAATTTCTAATGTTTCAAATGATAATTTTATTCAAAATTCTGATATAAGTCTTCCATGAAAGTAGAGATATTAACTAATAACTCAAATACTATCAGGTAATGTGCGTGCAATACTTTGTGTTAAAATGTAAGTACATATTTTTATTTCAAATCAGTAAAGCAAAATCTTTTTGTCAATCCATGAGTCCTGGGCACTTACCTGAAACAGTATATTCTGCTTATTGTCCTGAATCTTGACTTGGTCGAATACGTCTCTCTTTTCTTTGGACGAACTTTAGTTGCAGAACAATTAAAGGGTGACAAATGAAAAGAACAGCAATTTTACCTGTGGAAGGGAAAGAAAGATACAATTCACTAAAAAATGTTAATGATAACAGTTCCTTTCTCTCACATGCTCTGAATAGTTACAATCACAAATATTCCTTTTTTAAAGGGGTTTCTGTTAATGCTCCATGATCCCTCATGCTTATTGGAATAATTACTTTTCTTTAAAATTGGAATAAGGTGACACTTTGTTAATATTTGTCATTCAAATATGTGCTATTGTTCCTCTACCGACTTTTGGGTCTAAGTCTGATAGTAGGGCTGAACAAGGGCCTGAATCAATTGTGGGATCCAAGCTTAAAGAAACTCATGATCTGTTGGGTTTATAGCATAAGGCAGAATTGGCCATGGGGAGAGAAGGAGTTAGTTACAATTCTGGCTTGCCAGTTTACCTAATTAAGAGTTTATAGCTAGGGACGGAGCGATGTGAGGGTCAAGTTGGTATGTAATCAATATTTAAGACAGGGAAATCATTCATAAGGAGCTGGTGGCTGGCTCTAGTGTGAGTCCTTTTCTAAGGAATTTCTGCTTATTTAATTGAATAATGCATACATCATCCAATATATTTCTGGTGTTCGATCAACTTCACTATTTTTTATTTATGTTTTGTTATACTCAGATGTTTGATATAACATGCAAGCAGTGCTAAGTACTGGTAGAATATTTTTCAGCAAAGTTTTGTCCTGTCCTGTGCATGCAGTGCATACAATCGACAATGAATTAGGAGACCCTTCCTTGATGCAACCGGTTATACGTGCATCACTGGTTCTGTGTTCTAGTATTTATATTCTTACAGCATTATTTGGATTTCTCCTATTTGGTGAGTCTACACTTGATGATGTGCTGGCCAACTTCGATACTGATTTAGGCATCCCTTATAGCAGTCTACTCAATGACGTTGTTCGCATCAGCTATGCCCTCCACCTCATGCTTGTTTTCCCAGTTATCTTCTTCTCACTGCGCTTCAATTTGGACAATTTTATCTTTCCTTCAGCTAGGTCATTGGATTTGGATAACCGCAGGTTTGTCTTGATCACCATTGGACTCATTACTTTAATCTATATGGCTGCAAATTTTGTACCTAGCATCTGGGATGTATTCCAATTCACTGGAGCTACTGCCACCGTTTGCCTTGGGTTTATTTTCCCTGCTGCAATTTGTCTTAGGTGGGTATTCTTACTCTATCTAAATGTAGTGATCACATCAAATTTCATTATTGTTAATTTGATCATGTTCATTTAATTGAAGTGCTTGTTATCTGAATCATTATGAATTATCAATTAGTAGTTGTTTAGGGACTTTAAGCTCATACAGCTCTTAGGATGAAGCCGACTGACATTCCATGGAATATACTTGGCTCATGTTGAATCTTTTATATTGTATCAAAATAAATCAAACTGTTTTTCAGCTGAGAACTTCAGAATTAAAGCCTCTGGACTGCTATAGTTTTGAAATTTTAGTTAGGATATAGGATGATAATAAATAATAGATATTGTCTACTTTTAGAACTAGACTGAATAATAGAGTTGCTATTTCCTATGCTTTTGTTCATCCGTTCTGTATTGCTAGATTTTTGCTTCACGAATGTAATTTTTCAGTGACAAAAAAAACTATTAGTATTTAAATTGGTGTGACTTCAAAGGTACATAGGGCCATTTCCCTACTGATCTATATTTCTTCTATTTCAGGGATCCCCATGGCATTGCGACAAAGAAGGACAAGATTTTATCGATTGTCATGATTTTTCTTGCTGTGTTCTCAAACGTTGTGGCTATATACAGTAACGCTGATGCTTTGCTCAGAAAACATGTGTATCCTCGCCAGTGAATTATTTGTTCCCAATTTTTGCGGTAACAGATGAGAACTGTGTGTTCCCAAGTCATCAAGTCAAACTACATATTGTTAGCCACGGGAAATGCTTCAATCCTTGATATTTCAGTTTGTCAAATTGAATGCGTGGATTATTTTGGAGTTGGTTTGAAAAACCACGGGACTTTTTCAAGGTTCACATTTCAAAAGGTTTCGGAAGTATTTGCTATCACAAAAGGAAGACTATCTGAAAATGGATATCTATCAGTACATTTACTATTTTTTATATTTTTCAAAGCACTTTTTCAAAGAGCGCCAATTTAGTTTGTTTTGTTTGTCGAGTGTTTTTCAACTTATTGTTGAATATGCTTAGTTAAAATGAATAGTGGCTAATGCTAATTTTTCAGAAATCATATTATAAAACCTTCCATGACTAGATCACAGATTTAAATTTGTAAAGCCATGTATGATTTCTTCAACCTTAGATGTTCTATGGCTATGGACTCTGTAAGCCTTATATTTTATCCTAGTAGAATTCTTTCATCATTTTTATGTCAAATTGTTCTAAAACTTTCTTGGTGTTTAGGATAAAGATTGATATAAAAAAAATGTTGGACCTTTTGTCCCTCCATTATTCATATGAAAATTTTCAAATAATTGGTCTAATAGAAGTTTTGTTTTATAAATAATAAATTGTATTTACTGTTTCTACTAAAAGTATTTTGGTGTAGAGTTAATATTTAGATAGTTCTAACCATTTCATGTAAAGATCTATTTTTGTTGTCCGTACATTACTCTGTTGATGTGTTTTTAAAGTGATAAAATTATGTTTGATATCATTTTTCTACAAAATTGCTGAAAAATTTTATTTTACAAATTCACCACTGTAATTATTTTTAAAAGTTTTGACCCTTTTTAAATAATTTATAACATTACAAGATAATAACTTGATCCATGTTCTACAAAAATAAACCTTTACTTAAATTAGGTTATGTCTTTTATAAGTAATAAATGTGGTTCTTGTAGGATTAAATAGATTTATATAAAGTTACTTAAGAGGTCTTTGACATATAAATTATGTGTTTATTTTTTTAGAAATCTCTATTTGGTTGTGTTTTCATGCATGTCTCATTGAAAAAATTATCTTTCATTTTTATAAATTCTTTTACAAAGTTATATTTTTGTAGTTTTAAGATTAATATCAAACTAACGCAATTGTATTTCTTGTGAAAAATCCAATATTCTTTGATAGACATAAGATAAAAGATGTGATAATTCTCATAAATTTGTCTTATATAAGTTAATTTGTCTATTAGTTGAAATATCAACTTGTCATTAGTATCTTTAGCTACATGTTGATCTATATTAAAATCACCATTATGGTGAATCTTAAGATGAGATCTCAATTTACTAATCCATCTTGAGTTGAACTTATGGGAAGTAAAATTGACCTATAGACACACTTAAAAATCATGGTTAATTATTTTATATTTTATTTTGTACATTATTTTGAACTTTATATGTTCATATTTAAGAGAGAAAATGATATTTTTGAATCTTGTAATTAAATTTAATCTTGATAGATAAATATAATATTAGAACTAAGAAAATTTAAATTTAATGAATTGAGTTAGTGAATGATATGATATTATTATTTGTATTTTGTGAAAAATTTAATTATTTAATATACACTCCTAATTTTTCATGTATTATGTTTTAGAAAACAAAACAAAAATATTTTTTAAATATATATTTCTAATTTAGTATGATAGACACATTTAATATTCAACATGTAATATAGGCTAAGTCCATCTCAACTTAATGAATTATATTTAACAATTCTATTTTTACCTCACTAATTTTTTCAATAATCAAAATATAAATTGTATTCATTTGAAAATTTTGTTCCCTGGACATTTCTTTATAGGAAAATAATTTGATGCTATTATTTAATTATTAAGGAATAAAGTTATTTTAAACTATCTGTACACGCATTCCATTATTTTGTTTAATCAAATTAAGAAAAACTTGTCTCTTTCCTTTCCTTATTTTTTTTTTTACTTTGTGTAAAAGTTGACTGTTTGAATTTTGGGTTCAAGTTTTTAAAATTTGTTGACACCTGAATAAACCAAGGGGTTGTGGTTTATAGGGTTTAAAGTTGGCAGCAGCACTTGCACTTCCCCGGATCTTCAATCTTCACTGACACCCCACTCATTTCATTTCCCGCCCTGGTGACCCTAAGCGAAGGCTCTGCTTTCTCTTTCTGGGTTCTTCTTCCAGTGTTAGGGTTTCGCCGGTGGCTCAATGGTGTCTCCGAAGCAGCTCTTAGGGACTATCGAGTCAGCGCTTCTCGGCGCCTCGCCTCCAACGGGGGCGCAACGCGTCGAACTCTTGCACGCTCTTCGCTCTTCCCTAACCTCCTTCCAGTCCCTTCTCTCCTATCCTGTACGCTGTTAACTTTCATTTTTTTTTTTCATTTTCAATTTCATCTCAAAATCAAAACTCTTTATTTTATTGTGTCTGTTCTTTAGTCCCCAAAGCCCTCTGATCGAAGCCAAGTTCAGTCCAAGTCCGTTAGGCTTCCTGATTCTCCTCCTATTTCACTTGACGACCAGGATGTGAACATTGTAAGTGCTCACTCTTCACTTTTCTACACTGCTAGCATTTAAAATGGTTTGTGTTTAGTAGTAGTTAGTGCCATGGGCAGAGTTTGGTTGTTTATGTGTTTCTATCTATTATAAAGGAAATACATCTTACGTTTTGTTCTATGAATGGTACTTTTAGTTTGACCATAAGAACTGCGAAGTGACTGAAACAGGAATATAGTCAATAATTTTATGGTGAAACTTGGATTGGGAGAACCAAATAATGATGGCAGAGCTAGGGAACAAAGTGAAATCAATTTTGATGATGTTTCAATTGGACCAATTGCAATCTATACCTTCTTTTTTCTCAAAAAGTGTAACAATTAATGCATATGATTGTACTAGTTATCCTCCAAAGGAATTTATTACGTTTGACCCTTGGCTTGCCCAGGCACACATGCACATGCTCACATCTGCATAAAGTGAGGCTTAGTAAATGGGCAATATGGAAATCGAACAATTGTTCATCTTTATAGGCTTAAATGCCTGTATAATGGAAACCAAACTACATATGTACGTGTGCATATGTTTGCAGAAGAAACCTTTGTTGCCTTGGGGTAACTTTATGGAGATATTCATTGGTATAAAAAAATGATTATACAAATGAATACGAGTTGAATGATCGGTATCCCTTAGTGCTTTGAGTTTCTTGGGTTTTGTCTGTTTGAGCTCTTTATTGTTCTTAACACTCCCCTCTTAAAGCATATATTTGGCTCAAATTTATTTTCCCCAAAAATAATCTCTTATTTATTTATTTTTTCTTTCTTAAGCTCTGTCTGGATTTTTTTCAATTTTTATTTTTGAATAAGTTGAACCAAACACGCTCTAATTCTTTGGCAAGTCAAACCAGATTTTGAATGTCCATATTGAGGAGGTTGATATTAAATTATTAAGGGAAACTATGTTTCTTAGAGTCTTATATTTTCTACCAGCAACATGCAGCATTTTTTATGATCTCATGCTTGAAGGTCTTAAGTCATTTTAATCTTAGCATGTTGATATCGTGAGAAATGATGTGCCATGTCAAATCATGTTAAAAGGCCTTAAGTGGCCTTTAACACATAGAGAAAGTCGTGCTCAACCAAGAAACAAAGCATGCCACAAGTATGCTGGGTTTTAAAATAGGAGAAAAGAAATTAAACTGTCGTGAAAAATGCTGAAACACATGCCTAAGAATAGAAGAAAACATTAAAATAAAAATTGTACATATTAGTTCACATGGTGGCTGAGGTGTTTTGAACCTCTGTTTTACTTAAGCTTGAATTATTGAATGGCTCCTACCGGCCTCTGTCTTTTAAATTTAATCATGGGACTAGGCTTTGCCAAATCCAGTAGTCAGGTGCTAGTGGGGAGTGCATCCTCTATTATGAGGCAAACAACTGCACAAGTGTCTTGAAGGAATGACAAGTATGTGCCTCACCTAAGGGGCAGCACCTTGATCAGCAGAAGGTGCTGGGCACTTTTCTTGTCCTGCCTTAGTATATTAGGTCAACTTCACTGGATGTATTATAGCTATACAAATAGTTGTTTTATCTTTTTCAGTATGTTATGTGTTTTGCTATCATTTTTTCTTTTCCAGACGACTTTTTGTATCTTTAGTTATTCAAGTTTTGGCAATTTTTTCTATTTAAAATTCTAGTTGCCGTGGCTTCTTTTGTCTTCAGGGTTTGTTGATGAAGATTTGCAATTTTATTAACATGATTCTTGCCAATAATGAGAATATCTTTGTTTATCTTGGTCATATGTGTGCTCATGCAGTGTGGAGTCCTATTGTGGTTTCATTTTCCTTTCCCTTTTCTAACATTTGCTTTTATGACAAATAGGCGCTCAAATTGAGTGATGATCTCCATCTTAATGAAGTCGATTGTGTTCGTTTGCTTGTATCAGCTAATCAAGAGGTAGATTTCAGCTGTTTGTTTGCTTTATATACATAAACATGCACATGAGTACACAAACTTAATGGCACAAACAATGGATGACCATATGGTTTGGATACATAAACTTTTTAACTTTATTTTGTTACTTGGTTGCATGATTGTTTGTACTTGATATTAGATTGTAGTTTTACTAAAGAAAACATTTTGCATATGATTTTTCTGACATTAAGAATTGAGTGGAAATAATGAAGGCGGTTCAGTTTAGAGATGGGTTAGTTTTTGTTAGATATGATTAGATATTAGTTGATATTGTTTGATATTGTTGAGATATTGTTAGATATTGTTAATCACAATATCAAATAATATCTTTTTATTTACCCTATTTGTATTCTGTTACTCTTTTGAGGAGTACCTTTCTTTATTATAAATACACTGCCCTATGTGTGGTAAATACATAAGGGAAATTAACCCTATACAGTTTTTTCCTATATTCAACATGGTATCAAGAGCTTAAGGTCTCTTGGGAGCCTAACATCTTTCCGGTTATTGTCATGGGCCAAAAGTTGCCCTTTAGTTGGGTCAAAAGTACCCTTTGCCTGGTCCGGCGGGCTTCGTTGGAGGGGGTGTGTTGAAAGTCCCACATCGCCTACCTCATATCATTTGGTATGGTTTAAATACATGTTAGGCTACTCCACATATTGCCAATTGGTTTTATGTTGGAACCTTAACATGGTATCAAGAGCTTAAGGTCTCTTGGGATTTTTTTCGGCTCTGCCACTGAATCTGCAGCTGTCGCCGCCTCCATCGCCGCTGCCGTCGCCACCGCCGTCCGCCGCCGCCGCCGCCGTCGCCAGAGTAGCGGTTCGGACCGCCGAGCACAGGGTTTTGCTCGCCTCCTCCGTGCGACCTCCTCCGTGGAAGTTTCGCGGTCATCGGTGTTAGGATCGAGCGCTTACCACTAGGCCAAAAGCTATAGCCATTAGTCAGAGCGCAACTCTTTTTACTTTAACAGCCCAAGCGCCACGATTCAATTGTGACTCGGCCCACGACCTTCGTCACGGGACAATTGATGCTACCTGCAACAATCTCCCCCTCGGCAATTGTCCTACAAGGTATCCCACTCTTGGATTGTGACTTGGCCCACCGGCCTACGCCACGGGACAATTGTGCAACCTGCAACAATCTCCCCTCAACAATTGCCCACCGGGAATCGAACTCGTGACCTTGGCTCGATACCAATTGTTAGGATCGAGCGCTTACCACTAGGCCAAAAGCTATAGCCATTAGTCGAGGCGCAACTCTTTTTACTTTAACGGCCCAAGCGCCACGATTCAATTGTGACTCGGCCCACGACCTTCGTCACGGGACAATTGATGCTACACTGCAACAATGCACAATTGTTGAGGGGAGATTGTTGCGAGTTGCACAATTGTCCCGTGGCGAGGCCGGTGGGCCAAGTCACAATCCAAGAGTGGGATACCTTGTAAGACAATTCGTTGAGGGGAGATTGTTGCAGGTAGCATCAATTGTCTCGTGACGAAGGTCGGGTGGGCCGAGTCACAATTGAATTGTGGCGCTTGGGTCGTTAAAGTAAAAAGAGTTGCGCTACGACTAATGGCTATAGCTTTTGGCCTAGTGGTAAGCGCTCGATCCTAACAATTGGTATCGAGCCAAGGTCACGAGTTCGATTCCTGGTGGGCAATTGTTGAGGGGAGATTGTTGCGGGTTGCACAATTGTCCGTGGCGAGGCCGGGTGGACCAAGTCACAATCCAAGAGTGGGATACCTTGTAGGACAATTGCTGAGGGGGAGATTGTTGCAGGTAGCATCAATTGTCCTGTGATGAAGGTCAGGTGGGCCGAGTCACAATTGAATCGTGGCGCTTGGGCTGTTAAAGTAAAAAAAGAGTTGCGCTCTGACTAATGGCTATAGCTTTTGGCCTAGTGGTAAGCGCTCGATCCTAACAATCGGAGCAGCCACGCTCCCTCACGCGCCTCCCGAAGCCGCACCACCTTCTCCCGTTCCGCCGCGCGTGGCGGCGCGTCTCGCCGCCGTTCAGGCCGCCGATCTTTGCGCCGGCGTTGCCTCCTTCTCCTCTCTCTGGATCTGCCCTCGCTGCTCCAATCGGACCTCTTTGGTGTTTTAGGGTTTTTCTCTCTCTTCCTCCATGGCATCTTCCGCTGCCACTTCCAATTCTGAAGTTACCTCTGTCAGCTCCGGTGGGTCTGAGCAATCTGTTTTTACTAATTATGTCAATGTGAATTTACCCATTGATAAATTAGATGGTACGAAACCTCTCAATATTCCCCCTGTAGTTTCTAATGATTCATCTGCCTTGGCCTCTCACCGTGATGATCGTAATCGCTCTCACAAGCCAGGCAAAGGGTGTGTCAAGTGTGACCATTGTGGCAAACTAGGCCACAAAATTGACAAATGTTATGCTTTACATGGTTATTCTCGCCGATCTGCTGCAGTTGCTCAGACTGATTCTTCCGCACAATCCTCTGCTGTGGATCCTCCTTCGTCTGTACCTTCAGACAAATCTGCTATCTTCAATGATTTTCTTCAATGGTATGAGGATCGAAAGCCCTCCAGTTCCACTACTTCTGTTGCCCACACAGGTACATCTTTTGCTTGGTCTGACTCACTCTTCTTCTATTGGCCCTTGGGTTCTTGACTCGG